CCGAAAGCTATTCTTATTGGGACACCCTGTACAAATTAGTAAAAGTTTAAAAAAATCTGCAAAGAGATTTCGTCACCCATACAATTATGACCGCACACACAGTTGCTTAAATCTGATGATTGATTACGTACTTTAAATAAAGACTCTATTTTGTATGATTTAATTACAAATGTATAGTTTTCAGGTTTTTCTCTATACTTGTAGTATGAGACGTTACATGCCAAATTTTATAGTTCTATGTCAACGGAAAATACCCTATAAATTTTGATTCCCTTGAGAGTGTTGAAATATAGTTTTTTTTGTGGCATAAAGGGCCGCATCTTTTTTTTACGTTAACTTTAGAAGTTTCACACAGCTTCAAAGGACTGTAGACCTGAGTATATGGTTTTAATTTCAACTTGGTACCCCAACGCGTCCCGGAGATAGAGTCTTGACTGACAGACGAGTTCTGTCTATGAAGACTCTTGATCTGTGACTTTAGTTCTGTTTTTCAAGAAGCTTCCAAAGAGTACAACAAATAGTACGAGAGCTAGCAACGTCGGAAAAACAAGTATTTTAAGATGTCTGGCTCTTTGATATATATTTTACTATGCTCTCTAGAACATCATGCTAGTCTGGCTGCCGGTAAACGTGGCGTTCCCTACTGCGCATTGAAAGAAGATCCTATATTTTTATTAGTCCTTAAATTCTAGTATTGAATATAAATCGAACATGTCTCCATAGCGCAGTGCGTAGAGTTTCGACCACGAACCGATGATTCAGAGTTCGAATCCGGGTCAGTCACTTTTTTTATTTTGTTTTCGTTTATATTCTGATAGTAAAGTATTAAATATTTGTTTTTTTTTAATCACCAGAATTATTTAAAACTTTACTATCAGAATATAAACGAAAATAAAATAAAAAAAGTCTTTGCCCTGACCCGGATTCGAACTCTGAATCCTCGGTTCGTAGTCGGAAACTCTACGCACTGCGCTATGGAGACATGTTCGATTTATATTCAATACTAGAATTTATAGGACTAAATTTTTAAAAAAATATAGGATCTTCTTCCGATGCGCAGTAGTGAACGCAACGGGTATTGGCAGCCAGACGGGCCGCATGCTGTTCCAGAGAGCATAGTAAAAGATATATCAAAGTGCCAGACGTTTTAAAATACTTTCTCGCAAACGTTGCTAGCTCTTAGACTAAAACACCAAGATAAAATTTAAAAATAGTATACAATAAGAGAAATTTTGCAATTTTAGAATTAAAATTTCATATATTCTTGAATAAATGTAAGAACTTTTTTTGAGACGATCAGTACAGTATTATAGGTATAGCCACTGGTAAATGGTCTATAGTTTATATTATTATTAGTGTTGACCTAATCCCTATTAAGTTAAAAAAATACATTTAATTTTTGCAAAATTTTTCTTAAATCGAAATATACAGACAGTCCTAAACCTAAAAAATAACTATGACTAATTAAATGATGAGGGGGTTAACTTTACGTAGTCGTAACGGTGATTCGTGAAAATATCAGTCGATATTCTGGGGGCTACATTCACCCAGAATTACCAGCTGATATTTCAAAAACTCCCGCTTGTATTATTTCGAAAAAATAATTAAATTTTTTATTTTGCAAGAATTATATTTCGAATTCTTAAAAATATACCTGAAATTCGATATTACTAATTTAAAAATATGTTTGGGCAAATTTAAAAATTATATGATATAAAACATGAATAAATCGAAAAATTAAAAAGTTATAAAAGATTGAAAACGAGTATTCGGAAATTGACAAAACAACGACCTAATTTTTTTATAAAAAACCTCGATTTAAAAAAAAACTCAACAAGTCTTGGAATTAGTAATTAATTCTACACTTTTATTAGTTTCTTTTTTACATATTGTATACTCAGATTTTAATAACCTATGTGAATAAGTAAATTCGTTTTATTTTTTTTGAAAATAATAATCAGGACATTCGATAATCTCATCGTCATTGTCTTTGACATTGACTTGAACGATTGTCTGGCTTTTTTTATGTATATTTAAAAAAAATAGCCCAAAAAAACTTATTAATGGACAGAAAATATTGTTATACCGGATGCTTTACAAAAGTAGCTCACCCCTATAACTTTTTTTTACTTCATTTCATAGAAACTGACATTCTGAATGGAACGACATATCATATGTGAACTTTTGACATAGTCGCTTAAAAATTAGTATTTTAAATTTCAATATATAAAAATATAATAGTGATAAAATCACTAATTTTTAACCAAAATTCCTTGGAAAATACGTTTGATAGTCTAATGTTTTTCATGACTTTTCTTGGCCAGTCAAAAGATGCCCAAAGCGTGTTTGTAATCATAACTCAATTTTTTCAAATGGAAAGTTTGGAAAACACATTTTTTACTAATAATTTGGTATCATTTGTATTTCCAGTTAAATTGTCCAGTCGACATGAACACATCAATGGCACTCTAGATTGAAATTTAAAATACTATTTTTTATAAACGAAAATGTCAAAAGTTGACAAAAAAGTCTGTCTATTCAGAATGTCATTTTCTATCGAAAAAAGTAGAAAAATACCGAGAGTGCCGTTTAAAAATCAAAAGTCGTAATACATTTCCGGTAAAACAGGAAGTGACTGAAAATATTATTTGAATACGTCAATCGATCCTGATTTATGTCATATACTAATATACCAAATCTCCTTTTTTGTCTGAAAAAATAACAACGTTATAGTAGGGGTGAGACACTTTTGAAAAACACCCGGTATTAGTTATTTATTAGATATATCTACTGGGGATATTAAGACCCCGCGACTAAAAGACCTTATATAAAAAGCGAGGTTAAAGTTATTTTATTTTTTATTATATATTATACATATACCGGATGTTGCATCGTCGAGCGGGACATAGGAAATCTCATGTAAATTTTAATGGGGTCAATTATTGGCTTCCCTAATTTTAGAGAATAATTCTATTTAGGTTTACTGAAGAGTACTAAAACCCACATTCAAAAGAATAACTTTAGGTATTTTTGATTAGCCCGTTTACGAGTTATCGCCGATTTCTTTTTAAATATTTCTCCTTTCTTATGGCCCTGTATTTACTTATGAGCGCCAGTCAAGGTAAAAGATAACTGTCAAATGAAGTTGTCATTTCAGAAATTTATCTATTTAGTCAGGGGCCGGAAAGTGAAATAGCAAAAGCGGTTCCACCGTTTCCACGGAAATTTCAAATAAAATAGTTCCAGCCTCAGGCGCTAGGTGGTAGTGCAATTAATTTTTACGTTAAGAAGTTGCTACTAGTTATCGCCAGATGGCGTTCAATTAGATTTTTTTTGTAGTTTCCATAGTTTCCAACGGCCATTGTCATACTATTGTCAAATTCTCAAAAAATATTGTCGTTGTCATAGCGTCAATCATAATATTATCAAAAATGATTATCAAAACGTTTTTCAAACTATAATTTGTTATATATATGTTTTTATTAGACAATTCCTTTTGTTTGTGGCCCTAAAAATATAATGTAAGTCTTTTATTTTTGCCATCATTTAAGTACCTATTTATATTTACTCCATTTACAAAACTTTGGGCGTATTACGTTGGTCTTGTTTTATTATAATAAACGATGTTTAAATATTTGACTTATAAATAAAAACTTTAAATAATAAATAATATTTACACGTTTGGCTTTAATTTGATTTAATAATTATATAAATTATACTGTTAAATCTTCACAAGATCACACATCACAACGATACTTGTTATTAGTATTGTTGAATTCGTGTAAAAACGGCAATATCCACAGAAAATAAATGTTTGGGCAGGGATATTCGGACACAATATTATCGGGCCATTATTTCTTACGCGAAATTTAAATGCAGAATATTATTGGAACTACTCGAAAATCATATTTTACCTGCTTTACATGATGCCGCTAGGAAAAATCAGTTTGGTACCAAATGGATGGCTGCCCGGCACATAGTACCCTGGCTGTTCGGGATTATTTAGACAAGAGTTTTAACGGAAACGTTATTGGCCAGCAATGTCTCCTGATATTTCGCCAAATGATTTCTTTCTCTGGGGCCATTTAAAAAACAGGATATATAAGGATAAAAAATAGCCAAATCTACGAGTTAAAAAATGCTATTTCTGCCGAATGCAATAGAATTTCAGTTTACCAACTAGTGAATGTAAGAAGAGAATTTTATGATCGCCTGGGTTATTATTGTCTAGCAGTCGATGGAGGTACCTACCTAAATTATTAAGTTATTGAATATTGTAATAATATTATAATTAACCTTGTAATTGATTATTTTATTTTACTTTAATTCATATGAATTTGTATTTATAAATACATCTTTAAGATTTCCGATGTAGGAATGAGTTTTCAATAATAATAAAGCACTAAATAGGTAAATTTCTGAAATGACAACTTCATTTGACAGTTATCTTTTACCTTGACTGGTGCTCATAAGTAAATACAGGGCCATAAGAAAAGAGAAAAATTTAAAAAGAAATCGGCGATAACTCGTAAGCGAGCTAATCAAAAATATCTAAAGTTATTCTTTTGAATGTGGGTTTTAGTGCTCTTCAATAAACCTAAATAGAATTATTCTCTAAAATAATTAGGGAAGCCAATAATTGACCCCATTAAAATTTACATGGGATTTCCTATGTCCCGTCCGACGATGCAACACCCGGTATATCAGATATATCTTGATCAAAAATTGTTAATGGTTCTTCTCATGTTCTTAGCATAGCTTTTTATCCACGAAGCTTATAAGATCTCAGATATTATGTCAAAAAATAGATTTAAAAACAATTTTGGTTTCTTCCTAATTTTCAAATACTTCCAGCACAACTACAAATATTTTTTTTTATAAAAAAAAATAATTGTAAAGAAAATCAAAATTTTTATATCGGAATTTTTGTAACAGATTTTCTACTGTTTGTAAAATCGAGGTTTTCTAGTACCTTAATCTATCTCTATATTATACCATACCTTCATCTTTTAGCCCAGAGTTTTGTTTTTTCACCATTTCCAATTGGTCCGATAACCTAGACGCAGCCTGAAGCCCTTGTCTGCTTTCGTCAAGTTGTCTCTTCAGATTTTCGATTTCCTTTTTCAATTCTTCCTGTACTTGTTTTTCTGTGTTTATCTGCCTTCTTATTCTCTCAGTCTCTTTGATCACATCCTTTTCTCGATCTATTTTTAAAAACATAATCAAAAAAATGTATACTAATTATATTCTGACTAGGTATAAATATTTTTTTAATTAACATATATGAAAGGTGGTATTAGCATATGGTAGGTCAGAGACGATGTCAATATCAATTTCGTACACTAAAATACTTTGTATTACATGATTTTTATTTTTTTTTACATAATATGGGGGCAATGGTAATATTCGATATTATGTGATAGATAGCCACACTGTAGTAGACAGGTTTGACATTTTTCGAAGTCAGGTTAATAAAACAAAACCTTGTTCGGTTATGACACAAAATACAGGGTGTTCCATTTAGTGGAGAAAAATAAAACAGTCAGTTTTGACTCGCCCTGTATATGTCAAACGAGATTGCGAAATTTTGGTAGACCGAATTTTGAAGAAGACACTATTATTGCAGTACTTACCTGCTAAAAAATTTAAAACTCTTTTTTATTATATGTTTCGAATTTAGAATTCTAAGGGGGCTTTAAATAAATAAGCTGTGTTTTTGGAATGCCAACTCAAAAAATATACAGTGTGGTCCGAACTGTATTCCGGAAACTTCGGCAGTATATTCAGCAGATAAAAATAAGTAAAAAAGTTCGTATAAATGTATGTCCTAAAATGCTTAGTTTCGGACATACAGGGTGTAAAAGTTTCATTTATATTTCGATTTTTTTCCAAATAACTTATGAAGTGATGTAAATATTTGGATGAAAATCGGCGTCTGGGAGTTCTTTGACATGAGAAATTTGGATTTTGATGTCAATATGACTCCTACTTGTAGAGGGTGCCACCCACATATTTTTTAACTGGTTTGAAGAATAGTAACTTTTAGTCCGTACCTGTATAAAATTACTGAGTAAAAAAATATACATTTACGACATTTTTATGTAAAACAGGTCTCTTGGAAAAAATCGCTGCCGAGTAATGGTTCTCGAGATATTTGGAATCGAAATTATCAATACCTGTCATCAATGACATAAATTAAACATGTTGAGTAAATAGTTATTAGACTGAAATCATAAATTTGAAATGTTTTTGTGCCAAAAGTACAACAGAAACTGTTTTATCATCATTTCTTCGCAGAAAAATTTATGATTAAAATTAAAAAAAAAATCACTAATTTATTATTTCAGTCAAATAACTATCTACTCAACGTGTTTATTTTTTGTCAATAATGACATGTATTGATTATTTCCATTCTAAATATCTTGAGAACGGTTGCTCGTAGCGATTTTTACCAAGAGACATTTTTTACGTAAAAAGTCACGGAAATGTATATTTTTTCACTCAGTACTTTTATACAGGTAAGGACGAAAAGTTATTACTCTTCTAAACAGTTAAAAGACATGTAGGTGGTGCCCCCTACAAATAGGAGTCATATTGCCATCAAAATCAAATGTCTCATGTCAAAAAACTCCCAGACACCAATTTTCATCTATCCAAGGCTACTTCAGAAATTATTTGGAAAAAATCGAAATAAAAGTGAAACTTCTACACCCTGTATCTCCCAAACTAAGCATTTTAGGACATACTTTTATAAGAACTATTTTACTTATTTTTATCTGCAGAATATGCTGCCGAAGTTTACAGAATACAGTTCGGGACCACTCTGTATACAACTTTGGTTTGAAAATATGTTTAGATTACCCTGTACGTTGGTAAAAATATTTTCAATATCTGCGCTACTATTGCCCCCATATTATGTAAAAAAATAAAATCAAATTCACAAACCAAAAACCTAATATTATAGGGTTTTTTTCTGGGCCACCCGATATGTTTATTTACCTTTCTGGAACTGCTCTAACACGAACTGCAAATTGGTCAAAGCCACCGCCTGTTTACTATTGGCATCTTCAGCATCCGATATCTTCTTCCTCAACTCATCTCTCTGATTGGTTACCATTTGCAACTGTTTCTGCAACACTTCAGCCTGCTGATTGGCCCTGATACTCACCGAAGTATACAAGTTGCTCGAATTCTTCTCCCTCTGTTCTAAATCAGCAAGTTTAGCCTGTAGATCAGAGTTTTTCTGCTCAACTTGCAGTAGTTCTTGGGTGTAATGTTCCTCGACTTCCATCAGATGAGACTGAAGCCTTTCCAGTTGTTTAAAAAGAGATACTTCTTTATCACTGGGTCCGGACTTCGAGGATTGTTCTTCGAGAAGGTTTTTGGTCAAGATGTCGCATTTTTCTTTCAGGAAGTTGATTTCATCGTTTAGTTTGTCGATTTCTTCGTCTTTCTTTGCTATGGCCTCGCTAGAACTACTCGCTTGAACTAGCTGGGCTTCCATTCTCAAAGATTTTTCAGTTTCACCTTTCAATACTTCGGATAGTCGCTGAATTTCGTTATGGTAAGTAAGGCTTTCCTGGTGTTTAACTGTTACCATATTTATTAATTCGTTACGTGAATTATTTAGGTCTTGAATTTGAAGTTGTAAAGCTTGTACAGTTTTCTTGCTTTCGTCTAAGGCTGCTTGAAGACCGACTATTTGTTGATTAAAAACTTCATTTTTATCACCGGATTCAAGTAATTTTCTCAATTCCTCCCTCAAATTCCGAATTTCTTCCTGATACCTCGCTACTAAACCTTCATTTTTATCACTGTCATTCTTCAATTGCTTATCTACCTCTTCCTGTTTTGATATAAATTCCTTAAACTGATCTCGAAGCTGTATTATTTCTTGTTCTTTATTCCTGAGCCGTTCTTCAAGCTTCCTAGCTAAATCCCCTGTTTCTGCCTCATTTTCTTTTTGATCTTTTATCTCCAACAAAGCGTTATTGAGCTTCAAAATTTCACTGTCCTTTTCGTGAAGCTGGGTACTCAATCCCTCACATTTAATAAGAATTTCATCGTATTTTTGAAGGAGCTCTGTATAGCTTTTCTCATAATCCGCCAAAGTCGTCTTAATATTTGCCAAAGAACTTTCTAAATTATTTCTGGCTTCAGTCAGAGCTAAGTTTTCTTTGCTCAAAGTATCACATTGCAACTTAAATGAGGTCTCTACCATTTTGGAGTTCTGTAATTTCTCTGTCAAGTTCTTTACTTGATTTTCCAAGTTTCGTCTTGTATTCTCCTCGCTGAGATACTTCTCCCTGACTTCGTTTAGCTCTGTTTTTAAATCTACACTGTTCATAGCCTGTATCTTCGTTTGGGCATACTCTTTAGCTAGGGTGTTCATTTTTAGTTCGATGGTCTCAATCTCTTCGCGTAGGTTGTCTATGGTGAAGTTAGCTTCTGAGAGTTGGTAATCTACATTTTCGAAATCAGATTTATTTCTGTCCAGTTGAGACTTTATATTCTCGTTTTCGTCTTCGACTTCATCGAGTCTGGATTTGGTGTTAGTTAGTTCTTTCGAAATCAGGTCATAATCTATTTTAAGACTATCGAAATTGTTTAGTAAAGCTTTGTAGTCGTTTACTTCAGGGTCGGACTCAAACGATTCTTGTTCTTCAACTGATTTAGTCTCATGTTCGACTTTCTTCTCCAGTTCTTTGATTTTTTCGTTGGCATTCTCCAGAGCGGTTTCAAGAAGAACCATATTATCCTCATTCGATTCTGGTATAGTTTCTAGGCCCATCCTTGACTGGTTTTTCGCTTCGAATTCTTGTATCAATTCATCATCACTAACCACCAAATTCGTGATTTCAATCTCAAGCTCTTTAATTGTGTTACTTTTCTCAATGATTTCTTGACTAAGCACTTCGGAATTCTGCATAAGTTTTTCTATTTCAGTATTTTTTTCGTTCAGTATTTCCGATTTTTCCTGGGACGATTCCAGGACTTGCCTTTCGAGCTGCTGGCACTTTTCTTTGAATTCCAGCAAGATTTTGAATATGCTTTCGACCTGTTTGCTAAATTCCAGAATTTGAGGGTCTTCCGAAGGGTCAGGGCTGACAACTCCGGAATCCATGAAGCGTTTGACGTTGTCCGTGATGATATTGATATAGGACCGATGCATATCGTCCTTCTTGCAGTGAAGTGTCTTGTTCTCTTCGCTCAGGGCCTGTAAACTTTGATTTAATTGAATCCTAGCTTTCTGATGCTCTCGTTTGGTTAGTTCCAGTTCCTTTTGGGTTCTATCAAGATCCTCTAGTGCTTTTTTAAGGTTACCTTCTAATTCTTTGGTGTTGTTTTCATGAAGTTCTTGGTTATTTTTGTTTTGGTTTGTAACAGCATCAAGTTCTACCTGTTTCCATTGTAATGATTTGTTTTCTTCACTTAGAGCTTGTAATCTTTCAAGTAACTCATCTACTTGAGTTCTGGCTGTTTGGTGTTCTTGTTTCGTTAGTTCTAATTCATTTTGAGTTCGACTAAGATCTTCGAGCGCCTTTTTAAGGTTAATTTCAAATTCTTTGATGTCTTCTTCATGAACTTGGCTATTTTTCTCGTTTTTAGAAGTAATTAGTTCGTCATTTTTACATTGTAATACTTTATTCTCTTCATTTACAGATTGTAATCTTTCGCGCAACCCATCTACTTGGTTTCTAGCTTCTTGATGTTCCTGTTTGGTTAGTTCCAGCTCTTTACGAGCTTGATCAAGTTCCTCAATAGCTTTTGAAAGATTATTCTCTAATTCTGTGACATCTTTTTCACGGTTTACATTATTTTTGCTCTGGTTTTTAACATCGTCTAGTTCTTCCTTAAGAGCTGTCACTTGCTTTTCGTAGCTTTCCAAAATAAATGCGAGTTTTTGACAGTTCTCTGTGTCCTCTTGACTTTTAAGCTCGCACAGTCTTACTTGCTCTTTGGCTTGTTGTAATTCTGCGTAAATTACTTTATTCTCAGCTTCACTCAACGCCAACTTGGATTGATAGTCTTTGAGGTTAGTTTTGAATTCCTCAAGTGTTTTTTCAAGAGTGTCATGTGTACTTTTCAAGACGCTCAGTTCTTTAGTCTTTTCTTCTAGTTCTACTAGTAATTCGCTTTTTTTCTTATCGTTAAGAGATGGCACTTGGTTTGTATGATCTTTTGAAACAGACTGGAGGTCTTGAAGTTGTTTCTGTAGCTTTTTCTCGCTGGTAATAGTGGTTTTGAGTTGATGTTTCAATTTGTCGCATTTTTCCTTCAAACTAAGATTTTCTTCTTGCAATTTTTCTCTGATACTGACTAGTTCAGCTATGTTTTGTTGGTTTTCTGCATCTAGTTGTTCCAATTGCGTACTGAGATCGTCTTTTTCGTTTTCTAAATCTCTGATGAGGCGTTTCAGGTCGGAAACAGTTTCTTTGGGTGTCGTTTCTTCTGGCGGGACCCATTCCCAGTTTGATTCGTCATTGTGTGAACCGTTTACCTGGAAATAAAAAAATAAAATAATTAATAAAATAAATAATTATTTAAAAAACGGCCAAGTTTCCGATTTTGTTTTTTTACATATTTTATAATTTTTTAAAAATGTATATAGGGTGTTTTGAAAAATCTGGTCATTGATTAATCACGATCCTGCTTAGAGCGCTTGACGTAAAAAGCTGATTTTTGGAAAACGGATTGACTTTAGAGTGTAGAGGTTCGATAAGAAGGGATTTTTCGAAATTGTAAGGGGGTGAAACTACCCCACAAATATTAGAATATTTTTTTATTTAAAAACCGGTGAGTTTTTCGGAAAAACTCTTAAACACGTATATTTTATTTTGTTGTTTCACATATTTTAAGATTTTTTAAAAATTTGTACAAGGTGTTTCATAAAATGTGACCATTGAGTAATCAGGATTCTGCTTAAACTGCTTGACGTTTAAAGCTGATTTTTGGCAAACGGATTGACTGTGGGGTGTAGAGGTTCGATAAGGAGGGGTTTCTCGAATCTCAAATTCCAAGAGGGTGAAAACGCCCCTCAAATATTACAATATTTGTTATTTAAAAAACGGTTAGTCTTTTGGGAAAAAGCTTGGACGCGCATAATTTATTGTTTTTTTTTTAAAAATCATACAGAGTGTTCCAAAAAGTTGGGTTAGTTGGGTTATTGATTAACCACGATTCTGCTTAAACTGCTTGACATAAAAAGCTTATTTTTGGCAAACGGATTTTTCGAAAGTCAAATTCCAACGAGATGAAACTACCCCTCAAACATTACCAAGTTATATAATAATATCGCCATATTGTTTTTTCTCATGCTGACATAAATGTGACAAAATTTTATCCAGTTTGTATGTTAATGGAAATTCTTGCTTTGCTTTATCATTACAAATAATTAACTCGACGCGAACGAAGTCGCGGGTACACGCTAGTATATTTATAATTTACATAAAATATAAAAATCCAACACAAAAAAAAATCAACAGAAATACAAAGCACTGAAAGGTGAATGATACAATCTATCAGATACCAAGTACAGATGACTAAAAAAAAAGAAAACCCAAATATAAAAACACTATATAAACAAGAAAGATGGACACAATAGATTTGTAAGGTCGCGGCGATTAAACCCTTCACATACTTTCTTCATTCTATCAAAGAAAAAGCGAAAATATGTTAGTTATTTAATATGAAAATACAAAAATGCTGTAACTATTAAAAATGAAGGTTGAATAAACTGTTACAAAGTGTGAAGTGAATATGTATGTGTATTTGTGTTCCCTAGGTAGGAACTGGAGCTGATTAAAATGGTAATGTACGAAGCGACCCAGCGATAGCAAGACTTCTTATCGCGGTTTGGTCTTCCAACGGTCGTTGTTTAACCAGCCAACTTGGCTCGATATGAAATTTAATACGTACACGTTTCAATCAGTTACTTTTCAATGTATTATATGAAACTCTAATAAAAAATACTTAGGTCAAGGTTTACATTAATTCTGTAAAATTTGCTTAATGTATTTTTGGTATTAACAATACCAAATTATTAAAAATCTGATAACAAAGTCTGCCCAACGAATCAGGAAAGATTTTGGCAGACGACATGTAAAAAATAACAGAAAATAATATTAATGCCTAGTTTTCGTGCACCTTAGAACTTCGGATGTTTTATGTCAAAAACAATATACCGGATGTTTTTCAAAAGCGGCTCACCCCTGTAACTTTTTATTTTTTCTGATAAAAAAACGATATTTGGTATAAACATATTCAATTAGTTTCGATCACTTCTTGTTTCATCGGAAATTACTACAACTTTATATTTCTATTTAGTACCCTCAGTATTTTTTTACTTTATTTGGTAGAAAATGGCATTCTGAAATGGCATTTGGTAGAAAATGGCATTCTTTTGACATTTTCGCTTAAAAAAATAGTATTTTGAATTTTTGTATAGAGTGTCATGGCTGTGTTAAAACAAAACTACTGGAAACTAGGGTTTCATCGAGACGAGATATTAACAAACTCTCATCTCGATGTTTTTCTCGAAGTCAATTTCTCGATCTCAATTCGAGATTCTCGAAATTTCGAGAGTCTCGAAAATAAATACCTGATTTATTATTATTAAAAAATTGGCGCCGGGAGGCACGTATAGCCGCCCATACTAAAATATGTTAATAAAAAGTTGGTACGCAGTTCTTTTAGTTTCAAAGTAAAGGAATTTTTTCAATTTGTTTTATCTCAAAAACTGCGACTTTGACTGATTTTGATGTTATTACAAATTTTGTTGCAAATATTATTCCTAATCTTAAATTGAAAACCGCGTTTCGCTAGCTACTCTAATTTTGGAGTTACGGGTTTTTTAAAATTTTAACCCCCTTTTAACCCATACCCTCTTACCAACCCCCACCCCCACCAAAAACTAATGGCCAGATTCGGGTGCCACAGTGATTTTGTGCCAAATTTGGTTAAAATTGGTTAAGCGGTTTTTGAGTTATCGTGTTACAGACGGACAGGCAGACAGACACCATGAAAATATTTTGTATTTTGGTCATTTATGACCCAAATAACTCATTTTGAGTGAAATTAAAAAAAAAAATTGCCAATCTTAATAGCCTACCATACCTATTGGTATGGTCGGCTAAAAATATCATGTTATAAAGTCTGCACCAAAAGGTAGGGTAAATTTTTTCTGTGAAAAAATTACGTTATAGCATACAGAGCTATTATAATAGGTATGGTATGAACTAAAAGCCATGTGTAACAAAAAAAAAACGCAGACTTTGGCCCAAAATCCCAAAAGTAAAAATATATTGTTTTAAAAAGCGAAAATCAAAACGATTCCTTTATTTTTTAATTTAGTATTTTATCCATATGGGTTTAAAATTTACCTAGCTACCTACGAAAGTTAAAAATGTTTACTTCGTTGTGCAACAAACTGATTTTTGTTTACTCGAAACAGTCTTTTATTGAAAAACTTTTTTTCTTCGACATTACTTAAATTCCTTTAACTCAATAGGAGTTAATAGTGAAATTTATACAAAAATGGTGCCATAAGAACAAGAATATATTATATTTACGGCATTTCTTTATTCTGAAAAGACCGACTGATCGAACAGTTTTGGGGAAGTTATCTTTTGATTATTTGTAATAATTGTAAATAAAGTAATGTAAATTAGCATTGTACGAGAAAATATTTCCCAACATAGTTTTTATTTCCATTTTTCTAGCCTTTTATGTGCTGTTGAGTTATTGCAGCAATCTAAAGTTTTTCGAGATCGAGAAATCTCGAAAAAATTTCTTGATCTCGAAAAATCTCGAAGACATTTTCTCGATCTCGTCTCGAAAAAAAATTCTCAGTCTCGTCTCGATCTCGTCTCGAAATCGAGACGAGACGAGACGAGAAATCTTGAGTTTCGAGAATCTCGTGAAACCCTACTGGAAACATAGATTTGATCGTCTAATGTTTTTCCTGACTTTTTCTGATCGGTTCAAAGATGCCTAAATCGTATTTTTAATCATAACTTAATTTTTTTCAAATGGAACGAGGGTGGCTCATTATTATATTTGAAAAAATCATTTTTTACGAATACGCAGGTTGCCTTTTAAGTTTTTACAATCGCTAGTTTCTTCGGTTGTACTGGACACGTTGCAACCATTCGATCGTCTATGAGACGATCGAAGAACTGTTAATGCCGAATGGTATTCAACAATTTGTTTGCCGACGGTCTTCGATGAAATAAGGAAAAAGAACAAAACACGTCGCATCATTCGTCATCACGACAATGCCAGCTCCGATAAAGCACGTCAAACAACTGAATATTTGAAGGAGAAAATCATCGAATTAATGTCTCCTTGCCCGTATTCACCTGATTTATCGCCTATTGACTTTTTCTTGTTCCCCACTTCAAACAAAAGATGCGCGGACAGCGATTTTCATCACCTCAAGAAGCTGTTGAAGACTTTCAAAACCATGTTTCTACGATATCAGCTTCAGAGTGGAAAAAATGTTTCCAGAACTGGTTTGAGCGTATGCAAAAATGTATAGATCTAGGGCGAATATTTTGAAAAGCAATAAAACACTTTGTTTCGAACTTGTTCGTCTCTGTTTCACATTTTGTAATAACTTAAAAGGCAACATACGTAGTTTGGTCAGTTTATACCAAATAAACTGTAACCTTAACAGCACTTAAGGGACATAAAGGGTCATTACAACTGCTTTCCCGAAATCAAAATATTCTAATAAAGTTGCGATGAGTTTTTTACGGCTTATATATAAAACCAATTTCAAAATAAACGAGAAAGAGCCAAAGTCAGATGCTCAGAAAAGCCAAAGTCAAATGTGTCGAGTAAAACATCAAACAAAACTGTCAAAAAAATAAAATAACACTATTAGACTCTTTCCTGAGCCTCCATTCAGTGTCCAGGTAATGACCCTCTCTAAATATTATAACACCCAGTGTGTGTTTATGGGCGTTAGGGTTATTGTTCGAGCTACGGTTAACACAAATTTGTTGGAAAAAGCTGAAAACTGAAACGGGGGGCATTGACGGTTATGCGGGCGGCCGGAAACGTGGCAACGCGGCCCGCGTTAATAAAACGTTAAATATTTGTATTTCGCCTTCGTTTGTGTAACAATGGTCGCGGAGGTGAGGGCTAACCCTGCCACATTTAGTCCGCACACTAAACCTATTGTTATACGTAGTGTAGCTAAAAGAATATTTCGTTAAAATGAAATAATATTCATTTTAAAAAATTGTGTGTGCACTATGTGCGCATATTTGAAGTGAAACTAGAAAACAGCTATTAAATTGAAGGATTTGAAGGATATATATTTTTTGTGAATGCTTTTTATAAACTTCAAAAACATTAGATTTAATATAAAACCGTATACTATTCTAGCTTTATAATTTTACTAGCGTGTACCCGCGACTTCGTTTGGGTCGAATTAATCATTTGTAATGGTGATGATAAAGCAAAGCAAGAATTTCCATTAACATACAAACTGGATAAAATTTTCTCACATTTATGTCAGCATGAGAAAAAACAATATGGCGATATTATTATATAACTTGGTAATATTTGAGGGGTAGTTTCTCTCGTTGGAATTTGACTTTCGAAAAATCCGTTTGCCAAAAATAAGCTTTTTACGTCCAGCAGTTTAAACAGAATCGTGGTTAATCAATTACCCAACTTTTTGGAACACCCTGTATCGTTTTTTAAAAAATTTCAAAACATGTAAAAGGACAAAATAAATTATGCGTTTCCAAGTGTTTTCCCGAAAGAATAACCGTTTTTTAAACAACAAATAATGTAATATTTGAGGGGCTTTTCACCCTCTTGGAATTTGAGATTCGAGAAACCCATCCTTATCGAACCTCTACACCCCACAGTCAATCCGTTTGCCAAAAATCAGCTTTAAACGTCAAGCAGTTTAAGCAGAATCGTGATTACTTAATGGTCATATTTTATGGAACACCCCAAATAAATTTTTTAAAAAATCTTAAAATATGTAAAACAACAAAATAAAATATACGTGTTTAAGAGTGTTTCCGAAAAACTCACCGGTTTTTAAATAAAAAATATTGTAATATTTGAGGGGTGGTTTCACCCCCTTAGAATTCGAGTTTCGAAAAATCCCTTCTTATCGAACCTCTACATCCTAAAGTCAATCCGTTTTCCAAAAATCAGCTTTTTACGTCGAGCGCTTTAAGCAGGATCGTGATTAATCACTGACCAGATTTTTCGAAACACCCTGTATACATTTTTAAAAAATCTTAAAATATGTAAAAAAATAAAATAAAATATACGTGTTTAAGCGTTTTTACGGAAACTTGACCGTTTTTTAAATAAAAAATATTGTAATATTTGAGGGGTGGTTTCGCCCCCTTGGAACTGGAATTTCGAAAAATCCCTTCTTATCAAACATCTACACCCTAGAATCAACTTGTATGCCAAAATTGAGCTTCTTACGTTGAGTGGTTTGAGCAGGATCGTGATTAATCAGTGAGTCAGTCAATTAAGGATTTTATATATTAGTATAGATAATGTTTTTTTAATTATTAAAAAACCACAATTCTATTACCCGATAGGATAGCTGTGGCCATTAAACCAAAATCTAACAAAACATCTATATATCTGACTACTACTAACTGCTACTAACCAACAATTTGTTTTGTGTGCTCTATGGTCTGTTTTTGTTTAAATGTTTTGTTCATTATTCATGTTGGGAATTTATTTTTGAAGTAATGTTAATCGTTAGGCCACCAGTAAACTCATAGCATATTTCTTTTGCATAATCAAAATTATCATTCTAAATCGCTGTCGTTTTTAGACAGATGTCACTTGTCTTGTCATTATTCAATTCATTATTCGAATTCTCAGAATGTTGTCAACAAAAGTTTCATCTTAAAATAAAATTTTAATCAATCACAATTGTTTATCTCCATCATTTACCGGATTAATAATACAGAAATTACAGCTCAATTACAAATAATTCATTATTTATAGTGATTTACAGTAATTTTATTAAATTATACGAATATTCTCGTTGATTGTTGGTTTGAAATAAATATGCCAGTGTCCCCCAATGGTAATGCGATTTACTAACTCTAAATTCTAATTCTGAGCTGGCAAATGAGCTAGATGCTTTACCTAGACCGTTATTCAGAAGCTACAAACCTATCGATGAAAATATGCATCAAATCAAGATTGGTACAGTATCAAGTTTATTATAGTGATTTTCTTAGCCGCGTATTGCACAGATCGTTACCCAGTGTTGCCACAAGCTTATTTTTCATCGGGGTAGATTATCACGAGATAGCGGGGTTAAATCGCTTTACAAAGAGGTAGATCTACCCGAATGGGGTAGTAGCAACACTGCCGCTATCATCTTTCCTGTCGCAACAAATTTTTAATTAAAATCCGCAGTCTATTCTACCATTTGATAACCATAATCATTTCCGACATAAAATAAATGAATGCGTTTGTAAAATGTCGATATATCAAAGAACATTTTGCATAGAATCCACTTTTTAACGGCTTATTGTTGATTTAATGTAACGATTATTAATTGTTTATCGTTTTGTACCAGCTTAAACAATCAAGTGAGCTGTTTTACGTTCATACATATCGCCAGGTGATATTCGGCATTTTTTTTAAATTTACAATTGAATTTATAATAATTCAATTTTCATATATATTATGTTCGATTATATTTTGAATTTTTTTTGACACAAAATGTCACTAAACTAAATAAAAAAACAAAAACAATGTTTTCATGGTAAAATTCTTTTTTACAGGTCTCTCCACCATGCACAACAAAAATTCCAGGCCTCTATTATTCTGTGGACCTTCTGGTAGTGGCAAAAGTACCCTGGTTAAACGCCTCATGGATGACTTCCCCGACCATTTTGGCTTTATCATCAGTCACACTACTCGGAACCCCAGACAGGGTGAAATCCATGGCCAACACTACTACTTCACAGACGAAAACACCATGAAACAAGCCATAGAAAATGGCGAATTCGTCGAGCATGCTGTTTTTGGAGAGAACATATACGGCACCAGCTTCAAAGCATTAGAAGACATAGTGAAACAAGGCAAGCTTCCAATTCTGGACATAGAGATGCAGGGGGTGAAGCAAGTGAAGCAAACTCGGCTAAATCCTTGGTGCGTGTTCATTCAACCACCTTCAATGAGCGAATTGAGAAAGAGGTTGATCAAGAGGAAGACTGAAACAGAGGAAAGTCTAGAAAGACGACTGAATATTGCAAGGGAAGAAATAATGTACGGTCTGGGTGCAGGAAATTTTGATAAAATTATTGTGAATGACGATTTCGAGAAAGCTTACAGGGAGTTGAAGGATTTTGTTGAAGATAATGTACTAGTCAGTAAGATTACCACTGAAGCAAAACACTAAAAACTGACTGGATATCATGGTTTGACATTTAAGAGTATTATTTTTTTACCATCAACTAATAAAGATGTTCTGTATATTTGTATGATGTTTTTTAAAGATTCCTAAATTTGTTAAACATGTTCGTTGGGGTTAGTGTGCTTCAAATATTTTTGAGTTATTATGGTTTGATTGTTGCATTAACTATTAGCTTTAATTAATAGTAATTATGGTTTTTGTATGACTGTATTTGTTACGTTTATATTTTTAACAATTTTGGAAAATTCAATAAATATAAATAATATATTATTAATGATATCTATTTTTCCATCATGAACCATACAAATTTCAGGCCTTTATTATTCTGTGTACCCTCTAGTAGTGGCAAAAGTACCCTGATTAAATATCTCATGGGGTTAGTTTTTCCCCGACCATTTTGGCTTTATCATCAGTCACACTACTCGCAACCCCAGACAGGGTGAAGTCCATGGCCAACACTACTACTTCACAGACGAAAACACCATGAAGCAAGCCATAGAAAATGGTGAATTCGTCGAGCATGCCGTTTTTGGATTCGCAGCTTCAAAGCAGTAGACGACATAGTGAAACAAGGCAAACTTCCAATTCTGGACATAGAAATGCAGGGGGTGAAGCAAGTGAAGCAAACTCGGCTAGATCCATGGTGCGTGTTCATTCAACCACCTTCAATGAGCGAATTGAGAAAGAGATTGATCAAGAGGAAGACTGAAACAGAGGAGAGTCTAGAAAGACGACTGAATGTTGCAACGGAAGAAATTTTGATAAAATCATTGTGAATGACGATTTCGAGAAAGCATACAGGGAGTTGAAGGATTTTGTTGAGGATAATGTTCTAGTCAGTAAGATTACCACTGAAGCAAAAGACTAAAAATTGACTGGATATCATGGTTTGATATTTAAGAGTATTATTTTTTTACCATCAAGTAATAAAGAAGTTCTGTATATTTGTATGATGTTTTTTAAAGATTTCTAAATTTGTTAAATATATGTTTTTGAGTTATTACGGTTTGATTATTGCATTATTTATTAGTTTTATTTAATAGTAATTATGGGTTTTATATGACTGTATTTGTTACGTTTACATTTTTAACAATTTTGGAAAAGTCAATAAATATAAATAATATATTATTAATGATGTATATTTTTCCATCATAAACCATACAAATTACAGGCCTCTATTATTCTGTGGACCTTCTGGTAGTGGCAAAAGCACCCTGGTTAAACGCCTCATGGATGACTTCCCCGACCATTTTGGCTTTATCATCAGTCACACTACTTGCAACCCCAGACAGGGTGAAATCCATGGTCACCACTACTATTTAACAGACGAAAACACCATGAAACAAGCCATAGAAAATGGTGAATTCGTCGAACATGCTGTTTTTGGCGAGAACATATAGGGCACCAGCTTCAAAGCATTAGAAGACATAGTGAAACAAGGCAAGCTTCCAATTCTGGACATAGAGATGCAGGGGGTGAAGCAAGTGAAGCAAACTCGGCTAAATCCTTGGTGCGTGTTCATTCAACCACCTTCAATGAGCGAATTGAGAAGGAGGTTGATCAAGAGGAAGACTGAAAGAGCAGAGAACCTGGAAAGACGACTGAATATTGCAAGGGAATAAATTTTGTCCGGTTTGGGTCCAGGAAATTTTGATAAAACCATTTTGTGAATGACGATTTCGAGAAAGCATACAGGGAGTTGAAGGATTTTGTTGAGGACCATGTACTAGTCAGTAAGATTTCCACTGAGGCAAAAGACTAAAAATTAACTGGATATCATGGTTTGACATTTAAGAGTATTATTTTTTTACCGTCAAGTAATAAAGAAAAGTTCTGTGTATTTGTATGATATTTTTTTTTAAAGAATTCTAAATTTGTTAATATGTTCGATGGGGTTAGTGTGCTTCGCATATTTTTGAGTTATTATGGGTTGATTGTTGCATTGTTTATTAGCTTTAATTAATTGTAATTATGGTTTATATATGACTGTATTTGTTATGTTTATATTTTTAACAATTTTGGAAAATTCAATAAATCTTTATTATTAAAGATATCTATATTTGCATTATGCATCACATAGATTCCAGACTTTTAGTATTCTGTGGACTGTATGGTAGTAGTAAAAGTTTACTATAAGACAAAAATAGATGAAATACTGCACAGCAATGTATTCCTTATAAATTTAGCACAGCGATATTTTCTATTGTTCTATGTTTTTTTATCATCATGTCAAGGTATGTTGAATATTCATTAGTGATTACGGGTTAAAAATAGTCACATTTTTAGTAGATAATATACATAAAATAAAAGGTATTCGATTTTTCGTTAGATTTGTACCAGTTTTAATATGGCATAGTCTATCCAACGACAGGATTTTGTCCCGCAGTGACATTTGTGTCTGTCTTTAAATTCATGTTTTATAGAACTAAGCTTCATTCAGAACCTCGCAATTAGTGGAATAAATTAGTGGTTTCAATTACACCTTATACTTTTTGGTTTACATCATTCACAATGTTTAAAAAACACAATTAAAATTAATAGAATATTCTAGCAACAGCTTGCGTTAGTCAGTGTATCCATAGAGAAAACCTAATATTTAGCTTATAAAATAATCAACTTTTGATTTCTAACCACAATTTCTCTTGACGGAAGATAATCAAAGGCCAAAATGACTTTTCTCAAATTTTGAAGTATAATTAGTGGAAAAGTTAAAACAAAAAAATGGGAAAAGTGGAAACGTTTTTGACAACTTTTTCTACTAATTGAAAATGTCTACCACTAATTTTGACGTTCTGAATGCTGACATTAAAATTAAAGGAACAAATTTCTACGCTAATTGAAACCACTAATTTATTCCACTAATTACGAGGTTTTGAATTATACAGGGTGGTCCGAACTGTATTCCGGAAACTTCGGCAGCATATTCTACAGATAAAAATAAGTAAAAAAGTTCATATAAATGTATGTCCTAATAAGCTTAGTTTCGGAGATACAGGGTGTAGAAGTTTCATTTTTATTATGATTTTTTCCTAATAATTTCTGAAGTAACGGTCAATATTTGGATTAAAATTGGTATCTGGGAGTTTTTTGACATAAAAAATTTGATTTTGATGTCAATATTACTCCAGGGGCGCCACCCAAGGTTATTAAAAGGTAAGGTTGTCTCGTAACTTTTGGACCAATAGGAGCGAAGTGGAATAGCATCTCTCTGACGTAGATAGAACGTATAAAATCATAGAATAAAAGGAATAGAATATAAAATGCAACCTACAAAGAGAGATAAATGGACAATACAATAAAGAAGACACACAACTGAAAACTATTGACGCCGTGCACTATACACAATAAAGTACACAATGAATATCGATTCGGAAATGCATTGTCGGACTGTGGGCAGTTTTTACCACTTTATCTATGAGCGGTATCATTCCTATGACGTAGTAGATGACGTTTTCGATAATGGCGGATCGAGTTACGAGACAACCTTACCTTTTAATAAGCTTGGGCGCCACTTACATGTGTTTTAACTCTTTTAAATAGTAATAACTTTTCGTTCATACCTGTATAAAACTATTGAGTGAAAAAATATACATTCTCGTGACTTTCTACGTAAAAAATGTCTCTTGGTAAAAATCGCTACAAGCAACCGTTCTGAAAATATTTAGAACGGAAATAGTCAATACATGTCATTATTGACCAAAAATAAAAACGTTGAGTAGATAGTTATTTGACTGAAATAATAAATTCGGAAAATTTTATTTTTTTTATATTAAACATAAATTTTACTGTGAAAAAATGATGATAAGATAGTTTCTGTTGAACTTTTGGCACAAAACATTTCAAATTTATGATTTTAGTCTACAACTATTTAGTCAACATGCACTCAACATGTTTAATTTATATCATTGATGACAGGTATTGATAACTTCGATTTCAAATATCTCGAGAACCATTACACGTAGCGATTTTTAGGTAGTTTTACAGGTACCGACGAAAAGTTATTATTCTTCAAACCAGTTAGAACATAATATGTAGGTGGCGCCCTCTACAAGTAGGAGTCATATTGACATCAAAATCAAATTTCTCATGTCAAAAAACTTCCAGACACAAATTTTCATCCAAATATTGACGCTACTTCATAAATTATTTGGAAAAAATCGAAATAAAATCAAACTTCTACACCCTATATCACTGAAACTAAGCATTTTAGGACATACATTTATACGAACTTTTTTACTTATTTTTATCTGAAGAATATGCTGCCGAAGTTTCCGAAATACAGTTCGGACCACCCTGTATAAGTAATTTTTAAATATTTTTATGTATTTCACAAAAGCGTATAAATTATAAGTAAAATTTATCATGGCATCGTAAGGTAAGACGTGTTAAAGATTAGCGTACACTGGAAGTTATAACTACGGTTTTATTAATTATAGCATTGTGTTTAGTGAAGTTAGAAAGAAAAAAATATGTTTGGTCACAAATTGGTTTGGTAATAATCATTAAATATCTCTAAACATCTGTATTATTTTGTGAAACTAGACAAAAATACTTTTCCAGTGTAGGCAAAACGACAGATTTGTTGTAAACTGAATGATCCCGTCAGTTCCCTAGACACAGGTTTTTTACTCTATGGTTTTTCTTTATACGATTTGACTGCACAGGTAAGAAGGACATGCAAAACGTTAAGTGTAGATAGACGTCAAGGTTTTCAAAGTTCAACTTCCGAATTTTATTAACATTCTGTTAAGGGTACACGTGTTAAATTATACGTGCACGTGTGGCTTTATTAAAGTGACTTTTTATGTAAAATTTCATAGTGGTTATACAAAGAAATGGGAAATCAATAAAAGTATAGATACACTTCTAAAAAGGCTAAATAACAAAAAATAAATAATCGGAATCTCCAAATAAAAAGCAAAAAAAATGAAAAATACTTTTGTAGCCGAATTCTCGTAATACTAATGGCAACCTTTTGATCTTTGGAACACCCTGTACATGTGTTTAAACAGATCCATATATAATGCGAGTATTTATAGAGGGAAATTAGACCAACAAGGC